ACCACCACATTCACTCTTCTTAAAGCATGGTGGGACAGGCTTAGGTGAGTGTGGGTGGGTGTTTGGGTTGGAAGCTTTACCCAACTTTCAAGTTGCCCAGGTGACCTATCACTTGGGCTATTACTGAACACAGATTCACTGGTCTTCTGGAAGCCCATGTGATGAGAAGACTGGTCAACTCATCTTCTGTAAGGCTGGTAAACCTCTGTCCACAAATTACCCTGCTAAGTTGGTGGGATGTGGAGCAGGGTTGTGGGTGAAGCTCTTGGTTGTCTTCCGGCCCACACTCCTGCTCCACATAATAACAGAATCTTGCAAGTCTGCTTGTGCTGGACCTTCTCCTCCTTCTTATAGTCCAGTGAATCAGGGAGTCATCTGCCTGATCTGCTTCCAAATGTTATCTTCTTGTCCTGGACTTAAAGTTTCAGCCCCTTTTGCTTCGGTAATAGTTCCTGCATATGTCCATCAGGATCATCTTCCTTACTGTCTACAAAATGGCTGTCACAACACAAAAGCTGCCATCCCTAATAGCATGTTGCTATCTGGTGTACAACTTACTGTATCTGAAAGAGCCTACTAATAAAGAGAGATGGCAGCCGTGTTGTGGGAAGCGAGCAAGCCTTGTGTTCAGGACAGAAGAAGGTTTCAGTTGGGAACAACTTCACGCCCTCAGGAAGCTCTGAGATATCAACTCACAGAGTTCTCAGCCAGGGTGTCCATTGGAAGTCATTGCCCCAACTCACCTAGAAGGCACAACTAGAAGCAGGTTGTCCTGTGGCGTTGTTCACATTTCAGTCTTGTAGTTCTGTCTCAGTGGTATGAATGATTGAGGCTTGGATCTGTTTCCTCAGCATCTCCCGCTCCTCAGCTTTCAGTTTCAGCAGGTGCATGTGACAGTTCCCTGCCTGTTGTATTGTTTTTCTTGTCGCTTTCTGAAAATATATTAAACCCAGCCTTCCTCAGCCCAGAGTCTTCCAGATGTGTCCAACTGCGATTCCTAACATAGTCTGCAAGTATGGCTGTGCTGGGGGAGTTGTGGTTGTACATACCTTTAGAGGGCATCTGGTTAGGGAAAGCCGTGTTAATAATTGGGATGATGGCTTCTTTCCTGCTTTTAGTTAAAATGATAAATCTTAAATTAGATTGTGGGTTTTTTCCTTCAGGCTGTTGGATTCTATAAGCTAAATTTCCAAGCTGTAAGTATCTTCTTGTTGCTAGGCAACAGCAGCATCCGATTCTGAGAATCCATCCGTTGAATAGATGGGAACCACCTGGTGCCTGCTAAGGGATCCATCATCTCCCAATCTACATAACCAGGCCAATGAAGGAAATGAGTGTTTGTTCTTAGAAAGAGTCTTCTGACTTATTTAGCTGCAATGGTTCCTTGCTTAAAATCTCCTGGAGGAGCAAATGAGAAGATTTTAGTACTCATTGCATAAGCCCAGCTATCTGCTTTAGGGCACAGTAACTCATCTGGGTGCCTTCCAGATTGTTAGATTAACTCTGAGAATCCTTGCCATCATCTGACACATCAGGAAAGAGATTAGGGATGGCACAGAACCTCCCAGCTTCAGTTGAGGACCAAAGTCCTCTTTTATCTACACTGAGATGTACAACTCTTCCCCATTCTTCTCTCAGCTGCTCAAAATGCCAGAGCAGCAGCATTGCAGCCAGGGAAGGCAGAGCAATGTTTCCAAGGAAAAATTGAGATGCTTTTAGCTGTAGGAGAGATGGACAGTTGGAAAAGAACAGCGGAATGGAATGATGTGATATCAGCTCAGTTGCCCTTTCTTAGGTGCGGAGGAATAGCTCAAGTCTCGGAGCCAGGAGTGCAAAAACAGCCAGAAGAAAATGTGATTATTTCCTTCCTCCTTCTGGCTCCTCTATGTCAATAGAAGAGAATATGTGAAGCTCAGGGTTGAACTGTGGAGACCTTAGTGCTCTCTGAGCTTGGTGGTTTGTTTGTAGACATTTCATTACCCAACTAGGCAACATCATCGGTGCACCATCAGCAGTGCACCTAGTTGGGTAATGAGACATCTGCCAACAAGCAACCAAGCTTAGAAAGCATCAAGGATTCCATAGTCCTCTGTATCAGATCCCAGATTATTACTATGGCTTTACGTGGACTCCCATTCTCTCAAATATTGCTGGCTTGGAGGGCATAGTTCATGAATTGCTGTATTTTACCCCTCTTTGTTTTGGCTTCTGTTTCTTGGCCAGATCCTGCCTTCTGAGGCACAGGGACTACCTAAAGCTCTCCTGGAAATTCCAGATAAATGTGACTGTTAAAGAAGTAATCTCCCTGCTAATCTCTGTTTGATTGAGATTAGCTGCTCCAGGCACAATGCTTACATTCTGCATCACAACTTCCCACTTCTTTTCCCGGAATGCGTGTTGGTCTTGTAGAAAAGCAGAAAGATGTTTTTGGGGACCAAACCGTAAAGCAGTGTTTCTCAACCTTAGCAACTTTAAGATGTGTGGACTTCAATCCCCAGAATTCCCCAGCCAGCATCTTAAAGTTGCTAAGGTTGAGAAACACTGCCATAAAGGGTAGTTTTCAGTTGCGGCTTGCTTGGTTGTTTAGTTTGTTTAGTCTCCTGAGTGTGGTGGCTTCAGAGGTTGTTTTCCAGTGGCTTTTGTGACACCTTTGTGCAAATATTGGCAAGCCCCTGTCACTGTGTACAAGTAGAATTGAAACTTGTTTTCTCCAAGGAATTACTCGGCTGTGTGGTTGAGTTATTTATTGACACTGACGTGGAACTTAATGGCTTTTTAAACCCAATTTGTGCATTTCCCCCGAAAAGGAAGTTCTGATTAAATTTATTGGTGGATGACACTCAAACTCTCAGCACAGGTTTTGACTGCATTGGGAGTACCTGAGCCAAAGGAAAGCAGAGGCTTCCATGGGGGGGGGGGGGGGGGGGGTAGAAAAAGGGCAAGATGGTGGCCTTGACTATGTGATTGGAACCATCATCTTAACATTTTTGATCCTTCCCTGTGGACACCCTTAGTTTTGAAACTTCAAGCAGGCCAAGCAGTTGGTCCTGTCAGCCCTGCAAGGTAGTCCAGAGAAGAAACTCACCCAGAAGTACCAGCTTTAACTTTATTGTGAGGTTACATTAGCAGAATCTTCCAAGTCTGGAAGTACCTCTCTCCCCCCTCTCCTTTACAGCCCAAGAAACTAGGGAGGGTCCCTTTGCCAGCCCCCCATTCCTTATGCGGGCTCAGCTGATGCTTGTCTGACCGTTGCCTAGTCTGCGGCTCTTCCTCCTGTCTCCCAAGGTCATCCCCACATATCATTACAACTCCTGTGTTAAATTAGGGTATTGTAAAGCATTTTCTCCAACCTGGTGCTCTCCAGATGTGCAGACCTTCAATTCCTATATTCATAATAGCATTTAAAGGCCACCCCACTCTGGCTGACTCTGGGTGTTGTACCTGAGCAAACCAATACTGATTGTTTCACAATTAAAAATAAAAGGCAGACAGTCAATAACCCACTACTAATAATAACAAAACAAAAACGGAAAATCTCCTATAAGCGCTATGGAATCCAAAGACCTGTTGAAATGAGATCATTTGAAGGACATGCCTGAATGCCTTTTCCAGGAGAGTTATTCCATAATGTGGGAGCTACAACCAAGAAGACCTGTTTTCTACTCCACTCTCCCTTGATTTCCATGGGGAGGGAATTCAGAGCAGACCTTCTTCTGATGTAGACCTAGTCAAGTGGCACCCCTGAAGGGCAGGCCTTCTACTGCAACCTTGCTGCAGAATTTTTTTTTCTTCTTCTTTCCTAAGGGTTTGGATTTGGACCCCATTTCAATATTATACCGATTAGGACAGCTTTTGCTAACTTGAATATGCTGGACTTCTGTCACCCCTGGATTTTCTCTACCAGCTGCTTCGTTGGACAAGTTGGCTGAGAATTCTGTGAGCTGTAGGAATGCATGGTGAAAGTGCCTGGTTAGCGAAGGGTGCCTTGGTGTTTGCCAGGCTTTCATTGACGTCTGATTTACAAGGGATGTTGAAGATCATTGTGCTTTCTGGAATTTTGCTGACTGGACAGCTCTCTTTCAATTCTTTTTTGTGTAATGGAAGCCCCTACTGAGGCAGAAGGAAAATAATAACAGTGGCATAAAATTAAGCTGGTTTGGGGTAGTGGTTGAAGGCTCTGGGCTAGAAACCAGGAGATTGTGAATTCTAGTCCTGCTTTAGACATGGAAGCCAGCTGGGTGACTTTGGGCCAGTCCCTCTCTCTCAGCCCTGGGAAGAAGGCAAGGGCAAACCAATTCTGAAAAAAAATGTTGCCAAGGTAATTGTAGGGACTTGTCCAGGCAGCTGTCAGAAGTCAAGACTGACTCAAACAACACATACACACGAAGTTTAGAGTTCCACAACTCTATTCATTATTCTTGATGAATGTTTGTGTCGCATTGGAAAGGAAGCACGCATGGAGTCCTAGCCTTTATCTTCAAAAGGTGGTGGTGAGGGAGGATTGTACATCAGTCCCCATGGAATTTCAGTACAAATTTATTGAATTTTAGCAGGCACAGCCAGTGCAATTTCTTGAAAGATCCAAGCTGCTCCTTCGTCAGCTACAAGCTGGAGATCAAGGCTGGAATTGCCACTTTGTGCTGGGCAACAGAGATGCTAAGGACATCCCGCCTACCCAAATAGTCCTTTGTTGTAAATGGTGGATGTGATGAAGCTATGAATGCCCAACTTCACTGCTTCACATGGCATGTGACGGGTCAAGTCAGAATTCTGCCCTTTGTTTTATATAAAACAAGGACAAAATCCTCTCATCAAACTGCCTGACCCGCCAGTATGTGTTCAACCCTGTAAGCCAATTAACAAATGCGTCAGCTCTTGGTCTTTTCAGCACCACGGTTAATGAGTTTTAGCATTTAGAAGTTGTAGCCCTTTATAATCTTCTGTCATATAGATGGGATCGTGTTGTACCCCCATTAATTTCATTTCTTCTTTGTTTGTAGTGCCAACCACAAAAATCCTGGCTACTGGTGGGGCATCCCATAATAAGGCAATCTTACAAGTAAGTGTGGCTTTTTGCATTTGAGATTAGCATCTCGTGTGCCGTTTGAGCCAGGCTCTCAGTTCAGGAATCAAAGCCAGGGAATCAAGGCCTTGAACAGGCAGATCCTAAGGAGCAATTAGCCGGCAATGAAATTGAAGTAGGAGATGTACCTGTAGAAGTGACCAGGGCAGGGTAAACCTAGAATGTCCTTCCACACAAAGGCTAAGAATTCTGATGGCTGCTGAAGCCATCTGGAGCAAACCCCAAGTTGGTCTAGGAAACTGCAGTGAAAGCTTTCAGGCAAAATAGATCTTGTTTAAACAGCGGTGTGAGCACAACCTGCTCTTCAGCACCTATTATGTGCAAATACTGGAGACTAGATAGTTGTGCGGCCATTTGGAGTTGATCTCCAAAAGGTATTTTGGAGGCCACAGGAGTACAAACGTAATACATTATTTGCAACACTTCAGAGCTTCTTCACCTTTTCCCAGGACTGTAGGTAGCTGCACAGAGACCTGGCGCTGTTTTTACAACTAGAAAAGGGACTTGAAAGTGGATAGTTAAAAAGAGACCTTCCTTAACCATTCTCTCGGCCACTGTTTCCTGTTCTCATTGCTGATGGAATCCAGCTCACCTCCATTTGTAGAGATGCCTTTTGGCGTCAGCTCATTAGCTGACACATCCATGGACTGTGATGTGACACCAAGAAGAAGAGGTCATGTCAATCTGTAGTGGAAAACCACAGAAGCTCACATCTCTGGGTTTCCAGACATGGCAAATCAAAAGCCAATGACTTTCAAAGTCAACAGCTGGGGATAGTCAATAAGCCACAGTGTTATTGGTCCCCATTGCTATTGTCCAGGTGTCACTACTGTCCTGCATTACAGTTCTATTGCATTAGCCTCTTTGTACCCAGGTTAACGACAAGCAGTTACCATGTTTGCAGGATTATAAATAAATTAAGGTCCTGTTGCATGCACATTCTGTCTATAGTTGGCATAGCTAAGATAATAGCCAGAGCATGCAGAAATGTTCTGTTGAGGATGTGATTTCTGGGAAGAGCATTTTTAGGGTCGATAGCCAGAGCTTCTAGTAAGAACTCAGGAGGCTACATTTGGGGCCAAGCTGCCTCTGAGCAACCAGATTAACTCTGCCTGTTTAGCAAATGCCAAGCTCCAGGAATTGCTCAAATACTTTTTCTTTTTTTTTTACATGTTTAAAAATCCTTGCATTTTTTCCAGTGTATGTTTTAAGTGAGACTGAGACAATTATATCCAGTCCTACGGCCTCCTTCCTTTTTGCTACCCATGTTTAGACAAGTATATGGTTAATCTTAAATTTCTCTTTGGCCATACTGTTGGTGAACTAAGAAATCTGAACTCCAGTACTTCTCAGGGATGCAGGCTGGAGTAGGTTTTTTTTCCCCCAAGGATGAGTAAAGATGAGTAAGATTTTTGTGGAGTCCTTGGTGCTCTCTGAACTTTGTTGTTTGATTGGAGATGTTTCATTACCCAACTAGGTAACATCATCAGTGATAGTGAGTGTGGGGTTTGCTCCATGTTTATATATACAGTGGTACCTCGGGATACGAACGCCTCTACTAACGAACTTTTCGGGTTACG